CGTCTTCCACTCTTAGGATGTTTAACAAGCACAAAACATGAGTTTTCTGTGAAAAAAATGTGCATTTCTGTTTGATAAACAGAAATCAGGAATGGCTTCTACAGCCTACGCATACTCCAGATAGCAAAGGAGCAAAGTGGAGTCTGTCTTCTCTACAAGAAGTGGTTTTATTCAGTGTGGTGGCTGCCAATGCTGTGATTTTATATAGTGAATATCAGTGTAAAATGTATACGATTCGCAGCAAGTCTTTGTGATAAAAATACCCGCCTTCCTTGGCAATATTAGCAATATGTTACTTACTCCGTGCCCATGGCATTTGACTTCACTGTTGCAATCATAGCCCAGGACTGAATGTGGGTGGCAGGTGTTGTTTATACAAACCTAAACAAAAACAAATAAATACATAAACCAGACCAGCCCCGGGTGAGCGTGTGCTTTCTGAATACGCCGAATGTGTCCTAAAAAGGAGTGAAAATGTGATTTTTTGGAAAAATCTCCAGTGCTTATAAAAAGACACACTTACTGTGCTGGGGGTTGCATTATGTCTAACGCTTATAGCATGCTGCAAATTTAATGATACTATATGTTGTAAAAGTGTTCGTAAATACCGAGTGCTCTTAAGCGATACTGCAAGAGAATAAATATTCCTAAAACCTCGTTAAAACTGAAAATTGGTACGTGACATTTTCGATGGCTATAAAGGGTTTTCTTACCTTTTCAGGGCCACATTTGGTACCTGGCTCGACCAGCGAACTCATCTTTGCAGACGCGTTCATGTAATCCACAGACACACATAAATGCTCCCGTACTTGAGCGTAAATCACTGCGACACTGGTGGTCGCGAGCGGGTGGCGATACGGGTACGTGCAGATTAACTTCCCGCATTTGAGATTCCTGTAAAATGGATTGGCAAAGGATGTGGGTTTTATCCCTCTGCACACACACAGTCCTATGCTATATGATAAGAGACTAGAAAAAGAGGACAGTAAAAAGACAGGGTGCTGCATGATGACAAAAAACAAGCAGTTCTGGGAATGCAAGAGATACGATCTGTTATATAAGGAGAGGTGCTATACTGCTAACAAGGAGAACACATATATAACTATTACTTCATGAATATTACTACAAAACCCAACCTAAATGCTACCAAATAGTCTAAATATTTCCTTTTCCAGTAAAAGTCAAATTACAGCAGCTGCCCCTTCCTTGATGCCTACCTCCAAGTACAGGCTTTGGGGTTCTGCCACATAGTCAAACCGCAGTTTCCAAATCGATCCCGTTGACTGTTGACCTCCTCGTAACAAACCACGGGAGCGTTTCTGGAACCTGCAAGGTTGGTGGCGACAGTGATGACAACTGAAAGGAACACAAGGGATGTATTACGGTGTCCAATAACCATTGGACATTTTCACCCAGGTCGCAGCAGATGCGGTTCATGGACCAGAGGAAACAGAACGCGTGCCGCGGGGTGGCCAACCTCAAACGCTCATCGGAAATAGTGCATTAGTAAATAGTAGATTTTATAATATATTTTTAAATTACTTATAATAATTTTATAATTTTGAGTAATAAATGATCTGTTTCCTGTTTAAGTTCGCTCATAGATGTTCCATTTATACTTTTGAGGTTTCTTACAATTCCTATAAGCTCCCGGCGCCAACGTGCTGCTCCCCTGCGTACGAGGCAGAGCCCAAACGCAGCTTTTCCTCAGCCTCCTCCTGCCTTTCCC